CAAGTGTCAATGACTAAAAGTCAGAAGGTTCATCCAGGTTCCAGGTTGTAGACCTTTCAGGACAAAAAGTGTCCTCTTGTAGCAGTGTAGACCCAAATGAGTAGACCATCACTGGGTCTGTGTTATTGAGAAGTCTGAAAGTGGAGAGAAAATGAGAGATATAGATAGATAGATAGATAGATAGATAGATAGATAGATAGATAGATAGATGGATGGATGGATGGAAAAATAGAATTATGCTCTGTTTATAATTCCCATCATTTCTGTGTTTTTTATTTTTAAATATTTGCATATGATTTCTCCTTCAATGTAACAATGAACTTATGTCATCTAACAACCTATAGTGATTTAATTTCCCCACCCTCTACTCCCTCTAATTCTTTTCCGAGTCCCCACTTCTCAGTACCTACTCCCTTTCTGTCCCTGTTTAGAAAAGAAATGGTTTTCAAGAGATAACAACCAAATATGATGAATTAAAGTAAAATAAGATGAATGTACACTTATTTTTACCAAATTGAACATGGCTACCCAATGGGAGGAAAGGGTTGTGAGTGCTGGCACATGAATCAGAGACCCATTTGTTCTCTGAGTTCAGAGTACCATGAAATTCTAAGCTAATAGCTATAATACATACACTGATTGGTAATTTTTTACTTTATATTTAGATGAGTAGTGTCTGCACTTAGCATAAGACTCTGGGCTATCTCATTCCTGGTTCTTTGTTAGACAAGTGGTGTTGGGTATGGTTTCCCTCTTGTGGTGTTCCTTAAATTAAATCAGAAATTGATTGGCTCCTCCACCATGTTCTGTGTCACCATTGCCCTACAGTAATTTTCAGGCAAGACAGATGAAGCCAAAGGGTTTGTGGCTCTGTTGGTTTTCCAATTTCTCGTTCATCAACCTGCAGAATACCTTCTCACACCAACGACCCTTGATTGTAGGGGTTAAGGCTCCATGTAGGCACCAGGTTAAAATGTTCATGCTCAGTTTGTGTGTGGGTTGTTATCCTAGGCAATGGAGCAGGCTAGAGACTGGAAGGATTGGATGTCTGAGTGTTGTTGTTCTCCCCTCTTCCTACTTGTTGCCCAAGGGATATAGCTGTGGGATCTACTTTATTGAGTAGCATGTGTCAGAAGGCCAGGTTTGTAAGTGTGTTCTGTTACAGAACTCAGGATGACTTTGTGGGATTGGATCTGGGCATTAGAGAGAGAAGAGAAAGTTTGCAGGCAGCCTACATGGGTTTCCATCAGGCATGGCCTTGAGACTTTCATAGAAAGTCTCCCTTTTCATCACTGAATAAGAGTCAAGGAAGAAGTCAGTACCTGGTAAGTGGGATGCCCCCTCCTTTCAGTGCACCTCTGCACTTAGGCCCCTACAACAGCTGGATGACATTCTTAGGAACTCTGCTTTAACTGCAGATATTCAGAAACATCAGTCTGAGTTGAGTTCCAGTTGTAAACATATTCAGTTAAATCTCTTCAGGTTTTGGGTATGTACCAAAAATGCATGTTCGCTTACACATGGCCTCTTCATCCAATCATACTGGGAAACCTGGATATCCACATAGACCGAAAGAGACTTGATTCCATTTGGCTTGTTGGAGCATTCCTTTAGTCTCAGCACTCTTGAGGCAGGGTCAGTGCCTGGGAAGTTGCAGAGGCAGAGGCAGAGGCAGAGCCGTAAATAGAGGCAAAGGTAGTGGCATAGGTAGAGGCAGGATGATGTTTGGGAGTTCAAGGCTAGCCTGATGAACATAGATAGTTCCTGAACATGCAGGGTTATGGAGAAAGAACCTGTCTCAAGAAACTAAAAGCAAAGTAACAAATCAATTGGTTATATTTCCTGTGTGTCACCCCCTCAAAGAAGTGCCAAATGCTTCAGAGGCAATAGTTTGAGTATCCCTGATAATATTAGAGCACAGAGTGTGCCAAAGTGTTGAATGTTCACAGGCAGACGAGAATGGAGCAACACATGGGCCACTCAAGGAATCCTGGCTGTAGTTGACAGATGGTCTCGCAGGGAAGTAAAGCATTTGATCCCAGAAAAAAA